GTCAAGGAGTGTAATCTTTGATGAGGAGCCTCTTCTCCAAGTCACATGGGCCTCGTTATCCTGCTCTCTGAAATGACTCCCTCTGGTGAGAAAGGTCACTTTGCACAAATGATACCTTGGCAGGGGCTTTTATTGCTTCGTGGGACTTCTCCGTCATTGTCCCCTCGCTTGGCTGCACTGCTAGGTTCCTTCCTTCCCCATCAGCCCACCCCAGCTTGAGCGCATGAAAGTTTGAATAGACTAAATGCAGATCCAGTCCTCATTAGCTATTCCTTGAGAGTGACTTTTTTTCTTGCTTAGGCAGCTGAAACCAGAGGCAGAAGAGGCAGCAGGGAAATGTAGTTAACAGCTGTGGGGAATTGAAAGACATTTTTTGACAATGGAAGAGCTCCATCATTGTCAGTCTTTCTCACCAAAGTCAGGCTGTTGGGGGAATTTTTTTTCCCCTCCCTAAATTTGCAAGAGGCTGGTGGAAAAAGACTGATAAAAATGAAGTGTGACATTTACGACAGACAAGATTCCTCGTCCCTCCTCTGCTACAGCAACCCATTGGCTTCAAACATCAGAAACAGTTCTGTAGGGTTTTTTATTATTATTATTCCTGTGTTAAAATAGGTGTTGTTGGTTCTCCAAAGCTGTTCTCCCTTTGAGAAAGAGATTTGTAGTTTTCTATCATACTCTCAAGTTACCTGAGAATTTCGTTTTGGATTTCTCTAGGTGGTATTTTTGAACCTAGTTTATTGTGGGCAGCGGCATGGGAAGCTGCCGCTGATCCTGGTTTCCATTCCAGGTAGTCCTTAGACTTGCAACTTATAGGTAGTCCTTGACTTACAGTTCCTTTAGTGCACAGGTGTCAAACTCAATCATGTCACCTGACCTATCATGATGTATCGCAATGTTTTTTGCCTTTGCGGAGGTGGGGTGGGCGTGGCTTATGCGTGACGCATCCGGCCCATGGGCCACCAGTTTGACACCCCTGCTGTAGTGTCTTTTTGAAGTTACATCACTGAAAAAAAGTGACTTACAACTGGTACACTTACGGCTGTGGCAGCATCCCCGTGGTCACATGATCGAAATTCAAACACTTGGCAACTGGCCTGGGTTTGCAACAATCATAGGGTCCCAGGGTCATCTAACTGCCATTTGCTACCTTCACAGCTGGCTTCCGATAAGCAAAGTCAGCTTTGCTTAAGGACCATGTGAGTCATTTAACAACTGCAGTGATTCAATCGTGGGGAAAAAAAACACTGTAAAATCGGACTCAACAACGATCTTGCTTAGCAATGGAAATGGAAATTTCAGATTGTGGTCCTAAGCCAAGGACTACCTGTACTTAACTTTCCATCCCCCCCAACGGTCACACTTCCTAAGCTGAAAAAGTCCAATGATGGGAGATCCCTCCTAATGTCTTTAAGAGAAGTATGTCAGGAGGGTCCGGGTTGCTGCAGAAAGTATTCCACAATGGAAGATGAGTCACAAACGCCTCTTAACTCTCTCATTAGGAGGACGAATACACACTCTGCCCATGAGAACTTTATAGAAATTCAATTTTCCTCTGAGCTAAATGCATAAAGCAAGTTCTTTTTTTCATCAAACGGAATGAAAAAAATATAGGGAGAAACACTGGGAATTTTGCATACAGGCAGTCCTTGCTAAACAAGACCTTTGTTCAATGAATTTTGCTCCGTTTTACGACCTTCCTTGCCACAGTTGTTAAGTGAATCACTGCAGTAGTTAAATGAATAACATGGTTGTTAAGTGAATCTGGTTATCCCATCGACTTTGCTTGTCAGAAGGTCGCAAAAAGTGATCACATGATCATGGGACACTGTAACCATCATAAATATGAGTCAGTTGCCAAGCGTCTGAATTTTGATCACGTGACTATGGGGATGCTGCAACGGTCATAAGTATGAAAAATGGTCATAAGTCACTTTTTCAGTGCTATTGTAACTTTGAACGGTCACTAAATGAATTGTTGTAAGTCGGGGACTACCAGTATTAGGTTTTTTTCAATGCCAGACCAATACCAAGGACCTTTTAGTATTCCTAGGTTTTAAAATATTAATCTTTTAATTTTTTAAGACATCATCATTTCTTAATTTCTGATGTGCTATTTTATTACAATATTTGTTCATTTTGACTGACTTAAGCCACTTAGGGGTTGCTGATTGGCCAAAAAAGCTGAAATATAGATATAAGACATAAAATCATATGAATTATATTACAAAATGCTTTTAAACATACATAGACTGATGTAGTGGCTGAATTTAGATATAATAAAGGTGTGTATATATATATGTGTGTGTGTGTGTGTCTTGGCATACATTTTAAGTCACGGTTGTTTAATTAGAATTTGTTGAATCAAACATAACCAATCATTCTACTATTAAACCAAAATTAAATAGATCATGTTATAGATTAACATAGTGGTTCTCAACCTTTAAATACCTTTTGTGGCCACGGACGTACGGTCATGGACCCCCCAAGTCTTGAAAATTGAGTCAAAGAAAATAAATAAAATAAATTGAGTCAAAGAAAGAGACAAATACTTGATTGATTTGGTCTCGGTTGCGTTATTTAAATGCAAAAGGTGTGTTGTTAGTTCTAAAAGACTTGGGAAAATACACAAAGGTGGAAGAAAGCTTGTTAGAGTTAGCTAGCCAGTGCTTTGATCAGTCTGTAGCATCATCCTTTTGATTTAATTAAGGTTGAAAAAGTGTCAAGATGCTCCATAGGTTTGGGGACAATGGCCATTATGTTCCAATGAATCAACCCTCGCTTTACATCCCTCTCATCTTTCCGAAAGCTACAAAATCTCTTGATTTACACAGACCTCTAGTCACTTGGCTGTGAAATGCATTCAGTCTGGAGCAGTGGATGTAATACGCTTTGGTAAAATCCTGTTTAGAATTTCCACAGCGATTCATTAACTGGGCCCACCCCATCAACAATAAAGATAACAAGCTATTTTCACCATGAATTTCTGAGGAGTTTTAACTCTGAGAGCCTCCTTTTATCCTTCCTTTACTTGTGCTGTTGCTGTTTTATTTATAGGCTGTGGCTTTCATTTACTCTGATGTTTTCAGCTCATTTCCCCTGAGTAAGAATCCTGTTTCATTGACATTGACCAAGATACATTTTCCCAGTGTGGTGATTTCACAGAAACAGAACAGAGTAGCAAACAACAGAGTTGGAAGGGACCTTGGAGGACTTCTAGTCCAACCCCCTGCTCAAGCAGGGGGTCCTATATATACCCTATATACCAATTGCTGACTGCCAGCTGCCAGCAGTTCGAGTATCACTGGTTCAAGGTTGACTCAGCCTTCCATCCTTCACTGGTCGGTAAAATGAGGACCCAGATTATTGGGGGCAATATGCTGACTCTGTAAAATGCTTAGAGAGGGCTGTTAAGCACTGTGAAGCAGTATATAAGTCTAAAGTGCTATTGCTATTACTATTCTGGACAACTGGTTGTCCAATCTCTTATTTAAAACCTCTAGCGATAGAACAACCACAACTTCTGAAGGCAAGCCATTCCACTGATTAATTAATTGTTCTATCTGGAAATTTATCCTTATTTCTAAATGGGTTCTCTCCTTGAGTAGTTTCCATCCATTGCTCATTGTTTTGCCTTCAGGTGCTTTGGAGAATAGATTGACCCCCTCTTCTTTGTTGCAGCCCCTGAGATATTGGACGACTGCTATCACGTCACCTCATTTCTAGTAGAACACTGAGTTGTGTATTTTTATGAACACAACCCAGCTTGTTAATTATCCAACTGGGAGGGCATTATATGTATTTGTCTGTTAGAGTCTCATTCTCCCTGTCCCTAGGGCTTCAAGGTGATATACTTAGTACTCCCTTCTCCAATTTTATCTCCTAACAATAATCTAGTGTTTGGGTGGATTTTGCTGAGCTGTACTTCCTGGCTCAAGTCATCCAGCTACATGGTTAACTTTTGTCAAATTTGGGATACTTTGTGAATGCACTAGCATTGCTGTATGGGTATTTTGGAAAGTTACAGCTCTGACATTAAAGATTATTAGGTTCAGAAAGACCTTTTTTAGACCAATTAATTTTAAAATGATGAGAACAACTATAGCAGACTTTCCCTTCTATGATTTGAATATCTAAGCAAGTCTACTCCAAAATAAATTTTAGTATGTTTCCATCGAGCTTTCTCCAAATACACATCTGTCAGATTTCACCCTAAATTGATACAAATATTATTATTTTAGTACTTTTAAGATAAGTGCAGGTTGTCCTCAAGTTACAACCACAATTGGAACTTCATTGCTAAGGGAAGAGGTTGTTAAAAAGTGAATTGTGTCTTATTTTATAACCTTTTTTTTTTTTTACAGTTTCCAAGGTTAGATACTTAACCCCAATCTAACAGGCTGGAGATTCATACTTCCACCTTGGATACAACCTCCTTTTTTTAAAAAAAAAATCCTCCAATATATTTACTTTTCAAAACAATTTTTATTAGTTTTCCATTTTACACCAACACAGCTTAAGAACCCACGTGGAAACATGGTGATCCATTTTTTTAAAAAAACAAACAACAACATAGTAAATATATACCCATTATTTCCTAAAATTTTCCCTCTCTATCTGTATAGAATATTATAATCAAATTAATACATTTTCAAATGAATTCATTCATTACTATGTCTAACCATCAACTGCATTAATCAATAAAAAAAATTTAATCGATAAAAACCTATATTTCTTCTCACATTAAAACTTAAGCTTAATGAACTCCATTTGTTTAAAAACATTATAATCAAGTCAATATCTTTCTAAAACCAATTCATTCACTAATATAACGTTTCATCCAAGTTATATAATTAAAAATAAACTAACATTCCCTATCTATTTATATTATTATAGGCTCATTAAAACATTTCTCTCCTTGAAATGTCATGATCTACTCCGAGTTGGCTTCTCTTGGTCCTTCAACTCTTTTGCTTTTCTCCTGTGCTTTTTCTTAACAGATGACAGCCCAGCAACCGGCAAAAGCACAGCCGGTGCACGTCAGCACACCCTCGGCAGCAGCCAATGCTCCACTACCCAGCACTCCTATCGACCCTCAGGCACAGCTGGAGGCAGACAAGAGAGCTGTCTACAGGTACAGAGGATAATGCCAACCGTCTGCTCTTTAATGTTGCTTTCCATGACATGGCGAAGCCATTAGCCGTATTTGTCCTAAGGCTAACTTGGTCAGTAGGTGCTACACAGAGGCTGTTTCATAGCTGTTTGGGGTGACAAGAAGGAAGAAAGCTTTGAGTGCATGATAAAACAGAGACATCACATAAAAGGGCTCGGATTTCTATCTTGGAAGAGGAATTCTAGATTACAGTAGCAGCAGTTAATTTTGGGCCACAAATGGTTACACAAGCCCATGACTGTAAGGTTGCACATAGATGCTCTAATTCACTTCAACGCTTGTGATAGGTTTAGATTGGGGATGTACCCCAAACTCTGCTTCATTTATCACGGTTGAGCACTCAGGGACGCAGGCGAAGAGAGGCACAGATTCGACCATTTTAAATTTCTTCTGTTTCTCCTTTTTTTCCCCAACTTTGGATCAGTCTGTATCACTTTTCCATGTTTGTTTTTCATTTTTAAAAACATCTACTTGGCAATGTGTATGCGTGTTTATGTACATTTCCGTAAACCTGTTAATTTTTTTACCAGCATGCCTTCTTCCAAGCTATTTGCTTGAATATCCGTCTTCTGAACCATCTCTCATATGCACAATTTGTTTGCATTCTTTTTTTTAAATATACCCATTTTCGGACGAACTTTTTAAGTGAATTTGAACTCTGTGGCTCTGCCTAGAAAAATGAAGGTTTGGGACAGGCAGTGCATTGAAATTAATATACGTACATTGAACATTTTCTCATTGGGATGGGGTGAATGAGTAAATTTTTCAGAAGTTCTGAATTGGGATCCATTGGCGGGGAGAGCTAAACGATCAAGAGCTTTTAGAATTCCTGAGCATGTCAGCATTCTGGATGGAAATTTACAGGGCCATTGTCAAATCCGGTTGAAAATTACTCTCTAAATGAGGTTTACGAGTGAGGCAGCCTGGATAACAGACTCATTTGTGATGTTTCAATTTCACACTTTAATACCATGTGTTCGCAGATTTATGTTTTGTGTATTGAAGGAAACTGAAAGAAAAGGAAGCCCAGGCATTTAGGCAGGATAGCAATGGCAAGGAAAGAGCTTGGAAGAAAAATGAAATCTTCATATATCATAAGGAGAGCTTAAAGAGGTGGTGTTAATTAAAATTTCTTGCTTCTGGGTAGCATGACAGTTCAAAAATACATTGGGGATTTTTCATTTCATGTCAATAAATTTAACAAGGCCCCATTCAGTTCGAATTAATGCTTAAGTTGCTTTTATGCTCTCCTGTTGGGGGGGGTTGAGACAGTGTATGTGTGTGTATATGTAGAGATATATCACATATAATTTGTTCTCCTGTTTCTGCATGCCTCTGAAGCAAACCCCAGAGTAAGCATTCTGACCTAACCATGATTTGGTTGATGTAGGATAGTCTACTTACTGAACAAGCTTGAAGTTCTGATAATTGATGCTAATAGGGAGACTCCCTTTCTGCAGAAATTTGTTTCTGAAAAACTGGATCACTCAGACTGGATTTCACAAACATTACAGATCCTCTGACTATGAAATGGATTATCAGATTACTTATTTTTGTCCTCTCTTCCTAGTACGTCCTCATAGGTTGCCATGATATAAAAAAGATGTTGAAAGTCTAGAAAGAATCCAGAGAAGAACAACGAACACGATTAGGGAACTGGAGGCTAAAACCTATGAAGAACAGTTGCAGAAATTAGGCATTGTATAAAGTACCGCTTTATAAAACCCTAGTAAGACTACACTTGGAATACTGCAGCCAATTTTGGACACCGTATCACAAAAAAGATGTTGAGAGTTGGAAAAAATTCAGAGAAGAGCAAGTAAGATGATTAAAGGCCTGGAGACTAAAACATACGAAGAACACTTGGGTTTGGCTAGCCTAAAGAAAAGAAGAAATAGGGGAGACATGATAGCAGTATTCCAGTATTTGAGGGGCTGCCGCAAAGAACAGGGGATCACATTATTCTCCAAAGCACCAGAGAGCAGGACAAGAAATGATGGTTGGAAACTGATCAGAAAGAGAAGCAACCTGGAATTAAGGAGAAACTTCCTGACAGTGAGGACAATTAACCAGTGGAATAGCTTGCCTCCAGAAATCGTGGATGCTCCATCACTGGAGATTTTTAAGAAGAGGCTAGACATTCACCTGTCTGAGATAGTATAGGTTCTCTTGCTTGACCAGGGGGCTGGACTAGAAGACCTCCAAGGTCCCTGCCAGCTCTATTCTATTCTATTCTATGTCTAGTTTAATGAAGAGAAGGATTAGGAGTGACGGGATCGCAGCCTTTCAATATCTAAGGGGCTGCCACAAAAAAGGGGGGGTTAACCTTTTCTTCAAAGCACCTGAGGGCAGGACAAGAAGCAACAGATGGAAACTAATCAAGGAGAGAGCCAACCTAGAACTAAGGAGAAATTTCCTGACAATTAGAACAATTAATCAGTGGAAGGACTTGCCTCCAGAAATTGTAGGTGCTCCAACACTGGAGGTTTTTAAGAAGAAATTGGACAATTGTTTGTCCAGAATAGTATATAGGGTCTTCTGCTTAAGCAGGAAGTTGGACTAGAAGATCTCCAAGGTCCCTTCCAACTCTGTTGTTCTGCTACTTCCATTTTGTTTATGCTAATGAAATATTGTAAGGCTTCTTCCTTCAATGTTTTCATATTTCTGCATGCATTTGCCCATTTTAGATGCTTTTTCACCATGTCATAATCATTCTTATTACATGAGTTTTTGGCAGCT